TCATTGATTTTCTCGAAAACTATAATACGTAGAATGAATTCTAAAGATGCATATGAAAGCTGAATGTTTGGGGAATCTAACATGTATTGATATATTTCTGTCGTTTTAGCCATTTGGCTGTAATTCGCTTAATTTTAAACTATAATAGATAGAATTAATTCACAACATGCATATAAAAGCTGAATGTTTAATTGATTGATGTTTGTATTTCCAATATCCAAATAAAAAGGATGACAACTTAGAAAAAAAAATGGAAAGAAAGAAGCAATAGGAACCAATAAATATGTTTAAGGGAAGAAATTCAATTAAGTTAATAGCGATCTAATGGAATGTCAATGGATTTGGGGTGATTTATATATATGAGGGTCCGGCGGCATTTCAATTCCTGGTATTGCGAATCATCGGGGTCTCTCTCTCCTTTTTTTTTTTCACCGCATTTGGTTTCGATTTTGCTCTTGTCCATCCTCACCACCGTCGACATCATCCTGATCCTCGTGCTGCTTCTTTTTCTTCATCTACTTTCCGTTTCTCAGGTAGTAATTAATAGGGGTTTAGGCTGCTGCTGCTGCTGTTAGGGCAATTCGGGCTTCGGTGTAGGGGGCTATGCCAAACAAAACGCCTCGACCGCTCCTATCGCTAACGGTAGACACTAATTAAGTACTAAAAATGAGATCCAAGGGTGGAGATGTTGTTTTTAATGCCCTCTTCTTCGTGTTGTTGTTGCCATCATCATCAACATCAAGATCATCCGGATCGGGACAGAAGATAAGAGCGCGCGCGACGGCGGCGGTGGCGCCTATCGCGATCGTAAAAGATGCGAAAGACGCAACAATCGTTTTCACGCACCCAACAGAAGTCGTCATCGTCGTCTCTTTCTTTGTTTTTTCCAAGAAACACTGCAAAGATCTCACAATCTTCGCTCCATTTTATTAATGACTTCTCGAGAAACGAGGTGGCCATCACCTATTTTTTTTTTTGTTGTTTTCTCAAGAATGCAAGCAACAACACGCTAATCGATTCGCGTTCTTTACGAGACGACCATAAACTCGAGCCTACAACTGTAAGGAGGAAAGAACCGAAAATCTTTGGAAGCGTTTCCGCCCTAACAGCTGATCCCAATCTTCACGGCCTTCTCAACACAAAATAAGATCAGCTCGAGAGAGCGAGCACACACATACACACAATCAAGGCGGCAATCTACGATATTTACGATCTCCACTGCAAATACGAAGAGACTTCTTCACACGCACGAATCACTTACCGCGATCGAAATCTTCGCCATCCTCAATTTCGTCGTCGTCGTCTTCGTCCTCCTCCTCCCATAAAGCCCGAAAAGAAAAACAATTAATAACGAAGCAGCAATTGCAATTATCGCCCCGATGTCTGCACTCAATAAATTTCGCATTCGAGATGCAACAGCGGCGCGCACCACAAATTTGACACATAAAACGTCAAATTTTGACAACTTAAATGACGTTCGTAACTATCCAATACCTACTTGATTCTTCATTATTTACACTCACTTCAATTCAAGATCGTTGTTCAATTTTGACAGCTTATAACAAAAGAACAATTTGAAAATGTTTAATGATAAAATTAACTTACTTGATTGTCAATTAATCAAACAAAAAAAGTTATTGCAATAAAGTTTTTATAAAACTTTGACAGCTAATAACAAGAGAACAGAAAGCATCACTAAAGTAACTATTATCTCGTTGAAAATACCATTAATTTACCTTTAATTTGCGTGTTTAATGATAAAAATAACTTACTTGGTCGTCGAGTAATTAAATAAAGTAAAATGCATTAAAAAATTGAAATACAAATTTTTTGAAACTTCATAACAAGAGAACAGAAAGCATCACTAAAGTAACGATTATGTCGTTGAAAATACCATTATTTTAGCTTTAATTTGCGTGTTTAATGATCAAAATAACTAACTTGGTTATCGAGTTATTAAATAAAGTAAAATGCATTAAAAAATTGAAAAACAAATTTTGTGAAACTTCATAACAAGAGAACAGAAAGCATCACTAAAGTA